CTGTTTTCTGTCTCCTGGCCTTTGCAAGAGCTTTGCTTCAAACAGGAAATATCAATTGCATACAAAAACCAAAAACAGAGAAACACCCCAAAAACCTCAGGCTGGACAGGACTCTCAGGAGCAGTTCCTGAAACTATTTTTGGGCGATCTTTCAGAAACCCGGCTGCCAGTCAACTCCGCTCCCGCTAATGTTTTCACTTCCCGTCTCATGCATTTCAACAGCACATTTAACAGGAACGTTATGGTTCAATTCCTCAAGCACCTTCCCTGCCCGTTGCAAGTCCGCGCCAAGGATGGCTGGGCAGAGAGGACACAGAGTTGATCTCAAGAGAAATAAATATTATTATTCATGGGTGTCTTGGATTGTGCCCAGAGAAGAAAGGCCCTGCCCTGTAACCGCTGCTTTTGGAAGCGCCGGGAAGAATTCCCGCTCGCGTTTTCTGCGCCTATGAACGTGGGACCCGTTCTCAGCCCTCCGCAACGTCTCCTACTTCCCGCATAAGTGGACATCCTCGAGGTATTGCTAAGCTAGCCCTATAAATAGACAGATCTATCTATTGATCTAAAAAGAACCTCTGTCAATTAGAGACAGACTTCCTGCTCCGAGTTTCACGCCGTTCTCTCAATATGGCTAAATACGCCTTTAACAATCTAATCACCCCTGCTCTGTTTGTACTGTGTTTACCTTCTGCGTTTCTTGGCTCGGACCAGAAAGCTCCACCTCCCCATTTCACTTTGGTCACTGGTCAGTTTTTAACCTACTTCACTTTGAAGCAGCAGCTTTCCAGGGATGGGGAATTTGCTACAAAGACCCCAATTCCAAAGAAAAAAAAAAAAAAGAATTCTTAAAAAAAAACAACAACAAAAAACAAAAAACCACCCCCCCCCCCAATAGTCATGGAAACATGCTCTGTTAAAAATAAGTCTGAGACGCCTGTCTCTTCTTGTTTTAACACAAAAAGCTTAAGCACTGGAGCAGACGGGCTCTTTGCAAACTTCCCGGGATAGAATCTGTAATGCGGATTTCAGAAGGACCCAGGTGAGTTTATAAAAGAGCAGCCCAATCTGTAGCTAATCAGATCCAGCAGGCCAGAACGAGGGCTGGCAAATTAAGAGGCTCCGTGCTGAGAAAAAAAAAGGTTTTAAAACTTGGAGCACCCACTGGCATTGCACGCTTCCCTCTTTCTAGTGAGGCTGGGGGAGGAAGGAGCTGCCAGATGGCTGCTGGGCCTTGGCTTATGCACCCCCTCCAGGCGCGCAAGCGGCTGCTCTTTTAAAAGGGCTGTAAACAACCTTTGGCAGCCTGAGAGCATGTGACACAGGTCTTACGGCCAGGAACAGATCCCAGCAGATGACGCCTTGCTTTAGAGAGAGCTGAGTCACTCTGTGCCCTTCACTCCAATCACAGCCGTCTGTTCAGGCAGCCACAGGCGCTTCCCCCCAGCCCAGGATCCTACCTGCCCATTCTCTGTCCCCAATGATGATTCGGTTGCAGAGCTCACACATGTGATGACTGCGTTTGTTCTCATTTATGTCGGGCTCCATCTTCACAGGGTCAGCCGGCGGCTTCTTCCCCTGGAGGTTAATGTTGCATTGAGTCGGCGATGGTTCCCTTGTCACCTCTACCCAAGGGGGCTCGAAAGGCCCCAGTTTTATGCCGAGCTGCCAGGGCTGGTGGGACGGAGACAGTCTCAGCCCAGCGCAAGGCAAGGGGAGGGCTGGGTGTCAGAGGGAGCCTGAGTCTGGAGATGCAGCGACAGGGGGGCTTTGCTCTCAAAGGGAAGCCTGGAGCTTAGAGATGCATAAAGAAAGCCCACGTAGGCCAGACAGACTCCATCTAGGCTCAGAGCCCTGGAGACAGCTGCTTTCCGGGGCAGAGGAGAAAGAACGAGGCCCCCAGCAAAGTGGCAATGAGCAGGAGAGTCCCAGCCACAGCCCCGGGCTACTCAGTACCTGGAGCAAGCTCTCCACAATCTCCAAGGCGGGCTTCAGCACGTTCTCCTCCCACCGGGAGAGGTCAGACACCTCCAACCCATATACCGGAGGCACGTTGTGCCCAGGGCCTAGGGAGACACACACACACCAGCAGCAGTGAAGGGCCAGCAGCTACACCGGCTGATCAGGCTGTTGCATTTCCCGGGCACCGCGTGGGTGCAGGGCTGCTAACACTCATGGAGGACATACCCTTGGGGGAACCCACATCTGTTACCCACTGTGCTCCACAAGTCGCACACAGCAGAGTCCAGGGAGCCCGGATGGCTGGAGACTGGGGGCCACCAGGACCTGGCACAATGCATCCTGGAGCATCAGCACCTTGGCCTGAGCAGCCATGGGGCCGTTTCCAATCCAGAACAATCGGCAGGGCAGCCAGCCGGAGTCCACCCACCCTCCACGCAAACAGGCCCCACCACAGCCACCAGCCGCTTCCCAGCTCTGAGGTCTCCTAGAGGAGGCCCGGAGGCTCGGAGGGAGGTTTGCTGCTTGCAGCAGCACGACCTGGGCACATGCCTGCTGCTGAGCACGTGGGGATGGCTGCAATCAAAGCATGCTCTCCTGCCTCCCCACACCTGCTGAGTGGCGGGGCAGGCGTCTTGCGGCGGGGACAAAGCCCTCCAAGGCCACGGCACACTGGCATCCGGCAGGTGCTGCCTTTGATGCAAACAAGGCTCTGAAGGGGCTGATCTGAAGCGCACCTGTCCCTCGCCAGAAAGGGGAGAGGTGGGTGGCTTGCACCTGGCCCCGGGGAAGCGCTGCACCTGGTTCAGAGCCACACTTTGGCTTGGGTTTCTCTTCTCTCTTTGCCTTGGCCCTTTCTCCGTGCCCCTACCCGGCACCTTTCAACAAGTGCTCGGTTCCCAGCTGC